CCTCAGGCCCAGCGGCTGTTGGGGGGGGGTCCAGCTCCCGATGCTCCTCCCGACGCAGCCCCCTCCTTCCTCCACCACCCTCCGATGCCTTTTCCGTGCTGCCCGGCGGCCGCCACGCCGCTCGCCTTGTAATATAAATCCCTTGGGCTAAAGATAGCCGAGCTCGTGACCGGCGCCGTTCAAAGGCATCCGCCGGGCTCAGCTGCCCCCCCCAAAAAAACCCACAGGCAGGGCTCTAGCGTCACCGCCCGGCACGGGGCACCATGGGGACACCCGGCTCTATCCTGGCTCACCCCACGGAGGATGCTCGACCGCTCTGGGGGAGATGGGTCTCACTCTCCCCACTCTTGAGCATCCTCCTTGTGATGCCCCAAAGGGATGGTCCCTGTCCCAGGGAGAATAAGACTTTGTGTGGCTGGGAAGAGCACGTTGCTGCATTTTTATATTTTTTTCCCATATAAAAGTGGGGTTTATGGCTGGGGGGGTGTCAGGAATCTCTGTGCCCTCCAGCCCAGCCGTGGGAAATGGGTTTTGCAACCCCCAGCATGGCAGGGACAGACCTTTACGGGGTCGTTCCCTTCGCCACCCTCCCCTGGGGAGATGTCATGGAGCAACACAAGTGACATCCATCCCTGGTGTGAGGAGCCATAATGCTTCATCTGGGGAACTAGGGGCGAAAAAAATTAAATGCAGCAACCCCCTTATGTCTGGGGAGGTGCCTCCCGGTCGCAGGGCTCCCCCCGCTCCCCTGTAATCCCAGCAGAGACACCCCCCGGGCTCATGTAGAGGTTGATGGTGAAAAAAAGTTTTATTCGTGGCATGTTGTTCGTTTGTGTGCTATTCACAGCTTCTTCCTGGAAATCCCATTTTGCCTCTGCTGTGGGGTGCCGGGGAGGGTTAAAGTAAAGCTGGGCTTTATTTTTGGTGCACACTTGAATCCAAGCAGCAAAGTGATGCATCATTTAACCCACTTTGCCAGAAGTCTGTTTTTTTCCTCCCTCCTTTCCCCCTCATCCCAGCAGCCAGGAGCCCTTGGGGTACCCCAGGATGGTGGCCCCGGCAGGTTCCCCCAAAAATCTCAGTTTAGGGGAGAAGGTGAAAGCTTTGCTCTTGTGTTACTGCCATTAATCCTTACGTGTGCCCGGCTTAAAATACCCCATTTAGCTCTGACTGCTTTTAAGCATCCTTGACCTGTGTCCGAAGAGGGTCTGGGGGTCCCCGGAGGGGCTCTGCTTCCTCCCTGTCCTCCTCATCCTCCCCACTCCTGGGGCTCACAGGGACTCCCACACTCCCAGCCTATTTTTGGGAGGGTTTAAAAATATCCTCCCTGCGTTCACG